AGGCCAGGCGCAGCACCATACTCTTTCCAATCTGAGCAAGCTCACTGACTTCATACCTTTTCTCACAGCCTTTCAACCACCAACCGGGAGGTTAATCACTGCAAACATTCACTGAGAGGCTCACATTTCCTGTGGAGAAATGAATCACCTCAGCTGGGTCTCCACCACCATCCAGGATGGTCTGTAGAAAAGTCACACTGGTCTGAGGCCCAAGGAGAAAACTATGGCCAAGGCAGGGTGTCTACCTACATGGCGCAAGGCTGCCAAAAGTGTCCCTCATTCTGAGACTACGCCCTTCCCCATTGTGTGAGGTTAAAGTGTGCTTTCTTTATAAAATAATGGGATGGTAAATAGAAATCATTACTTTTCGCTTGCTTGGGTTTTTGGGTTTTTGTTTTAATTTATGGACTTTCTCCCAACCAACCCAACCAGTTGCCATCAACTTAACCCCAACTCACGGTGACCCCATGTGCGTCAGGGCAGAACTGTGCTCCACAGGGTTTTCAATAGCTCATTTTTCAGAAGTAGATTGCCAGGCCTTTTTTCTGAGGTGCCTCTGGGTGGATTCAAACCTCCAACCCCTCGATTAGCATCCAAGCGCTTAACCATCTGCAACCACCCAAGGACTCCTGTCCTTCCTTAGCAAAATTAAAAGCTGGCCACTTAACTTGGTCCCCAAAGTTCTTTTTGAAATGTTACAGGCCTGTGAAATCCCAAAGTCTAGGAACCTCTGAGCGACGCCACAGACAGGCTGGGCAGTCAGGGAGGGCGTGGGAGGAGGTGAGACCCAAAAGAACATGAAGAGAAAAGCAGAGCTCCCCAGATGAAGACAAGCCACGGGGACGGAAGAACAGGCCCATTCCCGGGTGCTGGGATCGGTTCAGTCCAGCCGGAGGGAAAGAGGCAAGCGAGGGGAGACTGGGCCAGCAGGGGCAGCCCAAGAAACCCCTCTGCGCCAAGCTCAGGAGTTTGAACTTCATCCAGAAAGCCAAGGGGAGCCGAAGACTGGCTGGCTGTAAACTGAGGAGCGACAGAGCCAGGCTTGTGATTTGGAAAGATGCCTGTGGAGGTGCCGTAGAGGACGTGGAGGAGGCTGGAACGCTTACATGCCAAAAGAGGTCACTTAGGGGCAGGTTATTTTAAGAATCCCATCAAAAAAAATTATGCATGGTTACCAAGGGCTTGGGGGTGGGGTGGGGATGAGGGAGTGGGGACTTATTGCTGAAGGGATACTCAGTTTCTTTTGGGGGTGATTAAAAAGTTTTAGAAGCAGTGGTGATGGTTGCCCAGCAAAGTGAATGTAGTCAGTCACTGAATCGTACACTTAAAGATGGTTAAAATAGCTGATTTTTCTTTTGTTGTTATATACATTTTACCACAACAAATTAAAAAAAAAAAAAGAGTTCTGTCAAGCTGTGACAAGAACGTGAACCAAGGACAGGGGCACGTGATGTCTAACCCGAAGCCCAGGTTCCCGGCCCAGGCAGCTGGGTGGGTGGTGGCACCCTTCGGTGGGAGGAGGGACGCAGGGAGGTTTTAGCATGAGTCACGCTGAGTGTGCAGCGGGAGGAGACGGGCAGATGTCTGGGTGGAGTGGAGAGACAGATCCAAAGCTCAAGACACAGGTTTGGCTGGGAGACCCAGGTAAATAACAGTAATGCTGGCGTGTATGACGGACTTCGTGCATGCCAGGCTCTGTGCTGACCACTTTCCGCCGCCTTTAATCCTCACACCAGCTAGCTCTGTGAGACAGGGTTGGTTTCTATTTTCTATTTTGAGGCAGTTGTTATTAATCTCACTTGACAAAAAAGGAAACTGAGGTTCAGTTAGGTCACACGCTAGTAAGGGGCAGAGCCAGAAACTAGACCCTAGTCTGTGTGACTCAAAGCCAGTGCTCTGAGAACCAGAAAGTGCAAAGTGGTGGAGGCGGGCGAGGTCACCAGGGCAGAGAAGAGTGGGGAAAGCCCTGGGGCTGGCCTGCAGGGGGCGCCACACAAAGGCATGGACAGAACAAGATCTCGTCAGAAATGTGCAACCAAGCACTCCGTCACTTGCAGAATTTTCCGCTTGAGAGGTAGGAAGAGAGCAACATGAACTCCCCCAGGATGAAATGGGCAAAGGGCTTTAAAGGGCCGATATGTAATCAATTACCATCGAGTCGATTCCAATTCGTGTGAGTCAGAGTAGAACTATGCTCCATAGGGTTATCAGTGCCTGATTTTTTGGAAGTAGATCTCCAGGCCTTTCTTCTGAGGCATCTCTGGGTGGACTCAAACCTCCAACCTTTCAGTTAGCAGCTGAGCACATTAACTCTTTACACCACCAGGGACTTTCGCCCCTGACATTACACGCACGCAATTAGGATGGCACCCTAAGCCCCATGCCACTCCTCCAGCTCTCTAGAGGAGGACAGGAAAGACAAGGATTCCACAGTGTAAAAGCGTGGAGGAGGAAAGCCATCACATCATGTCATCTATCCAGGGAAAGATGCCCCGCCCCTAAAAGTCCTCCCTCTAAAGCAGGGGTGGGAGAAAGTGGCAGGGGTGGGGATGGGACTGGGCAATTGATGGCATGTCTACCCTTTCCTTTTTACCCACACACAACTGAATAAATGGGTATTTTATCCTTTTCTTTTTTTAATTGTGCTTCAGGTGAAAGTTTACAGAGCAAATTAGTTTCTCATTAAACAGTTAATACACAAATTGTTTTGTAACACTGGCTGCCAACCCCGTGATGTGCCAATGCTCTCCCTTTCTCCACCCTGGGTTCCCTGTTGCCACTCATCCAGTTTCCCTGTCTCTTCCTGCGTTCTTATCTTTGCTTTCGGGCCTGTGTGCCCATTAGTCTCGTATACATGATTGAACTATGAAGCCCATTGCTCACGTGCGTTATTGTTGGCTCTATGCCAAAAAAAAAAACCAAACCAAACCTATTACTGCTGAGTCAATTCTGACTCATGGCAACCCTACAGGACAGACTAGAACTGCCCCACGGGGTTTCCAAGGAGCGGCTGGTGGATTCGAACTGCCCACATTTTGTTGGCAGCCAAGCTCTTAACCACTATGCCACAGAACCTGTCTAATCTTTCGCTGAAGGGTGAACCTCAGGAGTGACTTCAGTACTGAGCTAAAAGGGTGTCCGGCGGCTATACTCTGGGGGTTTCTTGAATCTCTGTCAGACCAGCAAGCCTGGTCTTTTTTTTTCTTTTTTGTGAATTTGAATTTTGTTCTATATTTTTCTCCCGCTCTGTCTGGGACCCTCTATTGTGAATCCTGCCGGAGCAGTTGGTGGTGGGAGCTGGGCACCATCTAGTTGTTCTGGGCTCAGTCTGGTGGAGGCTGTGGTAGCTGTGGTCCATTAGTCCTCTGGACTCATTTTTTCCCTTGTGTCTTTGGTTTTCTTCATTCTGCCTTGCTCCAGCCTGGATTGGATTTTTTTTTTTTTTTAATAGCCTGGCATTTAAGAATGATTAATCTGGTTCAATTTTGCTGCTAGACTTGGAGTCCCTGGGTGGTGAAAGCAGTTGAAGGCGTGCCCAACTGCTAATCGAAAGGTTGGAGGTTCGAGTATACTCAGAGATACCTTGAAGCAAGGCCTGGTGATCTACTTCTGAAAACAATAGTCATTGAAAACACTACGGACTATAGTTCTACTCTGACACACGTGGGGTCACCATGAGTCAGAGTCAACTGGACAGAAGCTGGCATTGGTATGCTGAAGCAAGCCTCAGGTGGTCCCACAATACAGACACGGGGAGCAATGACATGGGCTGCTCAAGCGGTAGTAAACTCCCCGTCTCTGGAGGCATTCAAGCTGAAGCTGTGTGACCACTTTCTGAGTTGTGGTCGGGGAGATTCCTGCACTGGGTCTAAGTCTCCTAAATTCTAATCTTTCATAGCAGGGAGTCAAAAGATAGTACCTCAAGTTGCTGTTATCAGATAAAGAGCCAAGTGAGCTTCTTACTTAGCGTTAGGGAGGGTGACAACAGAAGAACTAGAAACAGAAAGCATTGAATAGCTTCCTCTGGAAACAGGACCGGAAATGGGAAGGGACGGGGCAAGGGACCGTTGCTTATTGTTTTAAGTCCTCCTTTGCTCCTTTGCCATGGGCATGTATTAATTTGATAGAAATGTTACAAGTTAAAAAAAAACCTCAAATCGTGTTAAAAAAAAAAAAAAGTGTTCATCACGCACTTACTAACTATTCTATTTCCAAAAAACATTTAATAACATGGGAAATGCTCACACTGTTATACATACACACATTAATGTACCTCAAAAACTGAAAGAAGTCTGCTAGAAAGCTATCCACCCAGGAAGAATACCAGTGATAATTATTTTCTTCCTAAAAAAAAACTCATTGCATTGAGTCGATTCTGACTCATAGCTGCCCTAGAGGACAGAGTAGAACTGCCCCAAAAGGTTTCCAAGGAGAAGCGGGTGGATTCGAACTGCTGACCTTTTGGTTAGCAGACAAATGTTTAACCACTGTGCTACCAGTGCCCCATTATCTTCATATTTCTCTGAAATGTTTGATGTTCTATATCAAACATGCTAATCTCAACAATCCTAAAAGGCAATTCTTATTACGTTTAACATCTTTTTGAAAATAAAAAGCATCAGTAATTATGGTAGATTAAATAGGGCCACACATTCTTTGCATCTCCTCCCATCAAGCTGTGGAGTCAGTTTCCCCACACCTTGAGCCTGGGCTGACCTACGGGAGCTGAGAGGCCTGGGGAGAGCTGAGGGCCCCCGCCACCAGCCAGCACCAGCCATCAGACATGTGGGTGAGGCTATCTTGGGCCAATCAGACTTGATCGTAGCTACGCTAGCAATTCAGGCCTGACCAGTAGAACAATTGCCTAGCTGATTTATTTTCCAAATCTTGAGCCATATAAGTGGCTGATGTTTTAAGCCACTAGTTTTGGGGTGACCAGTTACATTGACACAGTAACAGAGCAGAGACATCCCCTTGTCCCTCTGCCCCCACCACAGTACCTGTCCAAGGGGTGCCTGTGACCTCCTGGCTCCACTCGCTCCACGAGCCGTGCCTAAACTCCTCCTGGGCCCGAACCTGGACCACGTGCCTCATGCCACTCCAAGCGTCATGGATGACACAGTGGTTCTGGTGCTCCTTGACCTGAAGGGGGTGGGGGGCACAGTGACCCTGGAGTGGGGGGTCTGGGGGATGCTGGTTAGGCAGCTCCACAGAAATACAAATGCCCTCGGCCATCTCCTGCCTCTTCAGCAGCTCCCTCTCTCAGCGCAGTGGGTGACTGAGCTGAGCAGAGACGCTCCAGAGGCACCCACCACCCTGGAGGCTCCGGGTGAGACGGGGTTGCCCTCCGGGCCTCCATAGGCTGAGCCCCAACCCGTTGCAAATTCCTGCAAGCCTCACACCCTTGATCAGCAACTACCCTCTGCGTACTTAGAGCCCAAATCCCTTCCTAGGTCAGCCTCTCACTTAGAGATGGGCCTGTCATTACCATTCCCGTTTTATAAATGAAGCGACTAAGGCTTAGAAAGGTTCAAGGATTTCTCCAAGGCCGTGCAGGTGGTGAGTTGCAAAGCAGAACCGAGGACCCTTTTTTGCTTCCTAGCACCGTTTCCACCACCCTCTAGCATCCAGGGGCCGTTTTTCGGTCCAGAAGTGAAAGGGGAACTCACCATCCCCGTTGTGAATGTCTTTGACCGTTCTGCCCGGTATCGGAGCTCAAACTGTAGCCGGTAGTAATTAGAGTTCCAGGAGGGGGGGTTTTGCCAGGTTACACTGAGCCAGTGGGGGTTTCTGACCATGCCGGTGACCGTGATGTTGACGGGCGGGTCAGGCTGGACTGTGGGGAAAGAGCATGAGTGCTTTACGCAGCAAATACGGTGAAGACTCTGCCAGCCCCCAGCTCAACCCCCAGCCTCAAGACCACTTCCCACAAGCATCTTTCCAGGGCCCTCGTCCACCATAGTCAGAGCTACGGGCAAACAATGCCCGAAAGGCACCAGCTCACCAAACTCCTCAACCAGCCCCCTCCTTTGCCCTCCAAGAAGTCTACCCAGTCTGTTAGCCTGCTGGTGACCCCGTGTGTGTCAGAGTAGAACTGAGCTCCATGGGGTTTTCAATGGCTGTGACCTGTCAGAAGCAGATCTCCAGGCCTGAATGCCGAGCTACCTCCGGGTGGGTTCAGACTGCCAACTTTTCAGTTAGCAGTGGAACGCTGAACCATTTGCACCTAGAATTAAATTTTTAAAAAGCAGCTGGAGGGTGGGGAGGTCTGGAAAAGCTCACTTACGGATATTTAAACCCTCAAATGTTTGGGTGCCACTGGAATTCCTGCCGACACTGTTGGCAACGCACAGGGACACCATGTACAAAGAGCTGTCTCCCTCTGGAACCTTCAACTGGCAGGAGAACTTTCGGGATTCCTGGGAATACTGGCACGGCTCCTGGAAGTCTCTTACCAGACTTTTGTGACTGCTGGACATAAAATAAGCGCAGGGTTCGAATATCAGCTTCTGTACTTATTCAGGAGGGAAGAGACAGTCAGGGGTTGGAAGTCAGGCTGTGAAGTCGAGCACCCAGGTTTGAATTCCAGCTCTACACTTACTAGCACTTGTGATAGTCTTGAATAAATTATTCAACTTCTTCGAACCTCCATGGGAATGTTGATACTACCTATCACACAGGGTTTTTGTTAGGATTGAGAAATGCCTGTGAAACATTGATAGCACCAGGCCAGGGGCAGATTATCCAAGAGGCAAAGTAAGCACAGTGCTTACCTTGCTTACCACATCATCTGTAGTGAACAATTTCACATTTTTTCACCACATCAAAGATCTGCTTCTAGGTATCTCTCCCAACCCCACCTTCCTACAGAATCAAAGCCTCTTTTCAAATTTACCATCCCAGACAGAGACGGATTACCCAGTAAACAAGGTAAGCACGGGCTTACTTGTGCTTACTTACTAATCTGTAGTGACCAATTTCACATGGGTTTCACCAATCAGAGATGAAACCCATGTGAAATTCGTCACTACAGATTAGTAACAAAGCACAAGTGAGCCCGCGCTTACCTTGCTGACTGGGTAATCCACCCCTGCGCCCGGCACAGGCTGTGACAATCACTTCAGTGTCGGAGGGTTGATGAGTTCCTGCTTAGTGCCAGGTCCTGTCTTGTGGCACTGCCGTGGGGGTGCAGAAATGAATCAAGAAAGGCCCCGCGCTGTGGGGACCCTGGTCTTGAGGAACATCTAGCTCAACTGGCATAACATCGTTTATAAAGAAAATGTTCTACATTCTACCTTGGGGAGTAGCGTCTGGGGTCTTAAAAGCCTGTGAGCGGTCATCTGAGATACTCCACTGGTCTCACCCCTTCGGGAGCAAGGGAGAATGAAGAGAACAGGATACAAGGGAAAGATTAGTCCAAGGGACTAATGGACCACAACTACCATGGCCTCCACCAGACTGAGTCCAGTACAGCTAGATGGTGCCCAGCTGCCACCACTGACTGCTCTGACAGGGATCACAACAGAGGGTCCCAGACAGAGCTGGAGAAAAATGTAGAACAAAATTCTAACTCACAAAAAAGACCAGACTTGCTGGCCTGACGGAGACTGGAGAAACCCCAAAAGTATGGCCCCTGGACACCCTTTCAGCTCAGTAATGAAGTCACTCCCGAGGTTCACCCTTCAACCAAAGATCAGACAGCCCATAAAACAAAACGAGACTAATGGGGCACAACAGTCCAGGGACAAGGACTAGAAGGCAGGAGAGGACAGAAAAGCTGGTAATAGGAACCAAGGTTGAGAAGGGACAGTGTTGACATGTCGTGGGGTTGTTAACCAATGTCACAAAACAACATGTGTACTAACTGTGTAATCAGAAACTACTTGTTCTGTAAGCCTTCATCTAAAGTACAATTTAAAATTTTTTTTTTTTAAAAAAGGCCCGGCTCCAGCCTCAAGGCACTAAAAAAAAGCCCTGACCTCAGGTGACTGCAACAGCAGGTAGAAAATGCCCCAGAAGCACAAAGTGCTGGAAGGGGCGGCAGGGAAGAGACAGCATTTCCAGCAGGTGAACCAGAAAAGGATTCTGGGTAACTGCAGACAGATAGGTGAGTCAGACGCCCCGAGGTTTCACCTACTTGTGACACTTGTGGGCACGCGAGGCTTCCGTAGCCACCCACCCTGCTGCTGGGGCGAGTCACCAACTCTTCTGACTTGGGTTTGAACGCTGGGCCCCGTCTGAGTTCAGCCCATGAAAGGAACTCCTTCCTTCAGTGAAGCCTCCTTCAATCCTCCCTCTGCCCTCACTCCAGCACCACCCAGGCTTCCATGGACCTAACACTGAGAAGATGGGGTCATCAACCTGTTTACAGGTGTGCCCCCCAACAAGCCTTACTCCCCCCATGCCTCTCCCAAAGCCCTAGCACAGTGCCAGGCCAACAGCACCACACACTTGTTGAATGAACGAGCAAGCAAGTCGGGTGTGGATGTGCACACACTCAGAGACGAAGCCGAACACACAGAAATCTCTTCCCAGGGACTTGTCCCAGCTGGGTGGGGCCTGAGTGCATTCTGGCGTCCCTGAGGTTCTCAGTCGCTCCGCCTCCCCCTTTCTCAGTTCAAAGGCCTCAGTTGCCGCCATATTGACAGCAGAACACCCTGCAGCCCAGGAGGAGGGCTTCGTTCTTCCCATTGTCACTGTCAACACGCAAGTGTTCCAGCCGGGGTGTCCACTGGATAAGCTTTCCGTGGGCTGGGCTGGGAAGCTGCCAGGCACTGTGTGGAATATCCTGTCTAAGGAAGAACGCCTTCCAGGTCCCAATTAATTTGCACCCAAACCCAGCTTTGGGCTGTGACTTCTAGTCTTCCCTACTCGGGGTGTGAGCTAACAGTCTTAATGGCTGCTGTACCATTTGCAGATGGGTAACTTATAATTTCTGCACAAGGGCCAGGACACAAACATTACTACTGGGCCACCGAGGGACTGGAGTCTTGGTGGTGTAGTGGTTAAGAGCTCGGCCGCTAACCAAAAGGTCAGCAGTTCGAATGCACCAGCCGCTCCTTGGAAACCCTATGGGGCAGTTCTACTCTGTCCTGTAGGGTCACTATGAGTTGGAATCAACGTGATGGCAATCGGTTATACCTAGGGGCTCTCTAGGGACAAACACAAGTGGAAGTCAAACCTCCCTATTGAAGTGACGGCTCTGATTTCAATGCTCTGATGATTGATGACTCACACCCAATTATAAGCATCTGAACCAAGGGGACCTGGACTGTTGGGTGGAGACAGGCAAAACTACAGAGAAGGCGTATTTGTTTTCAGCATCTTTCACCTCCTACATCCACGCCTGGACCCATCCCAGGTCTGTCCACATTGCAGGCTGGGTAGAGATGCTCCAAAGACCCAGGGACCCCCAGGTGGGCGTGACTTCCTGCCCCACCACTCCCAGCTCCCTCTCCCACCTCACCAGCACTTCCTCTCCAGCCTTTATAATGGAAATAGCCTGGACACCATAGTGGGCTGGCTGCACTGCCCCTCCCAGGGAAGTCTACACTTTCTCCATAGCAACGCCTAAAACCTTCGGACTTTGAATGAAATCAGACTGGGGTTTGATTCCCAGCAGGGCTACGTACTAGCTAGATGATCTTAGACAAGTTAATGAATCTCTCTGAACTTCAGTTCCTTCTTCTGTTAAATGAGAAAAAGAACATCCACTTCCCAGGACTGATGTGATAGTTCAAATGAGTTAATGGGGCCAAGTTGCTGGGGCACAGTGCCCAGTACAGGTGAGCATGCAAACGTAAGTCTCAATTCCCTCTCTCATTCCCTCCTCCTTATGCCAAACAAATGACTTTCTAAAGATAAAATTTTGGAATCTCTGGCCAACCCCTCACCACCCCACCCCCACTCTGGGGGCCTCAGGAAAGATGGAGTAGCTATAAACAAAGCCCAGCCCAAGATACTTACGACACTCTCACCAACAACACGGCTTTGGTCGTCGGGGAAGGGGTGCCACGAGGACTCCACTCACACCAAACGCTGCTGATGGGACTCTTCTGGAAGCAGGAGATGTGGGGCTTCTCAGGAGGGGCTGAAACCGAGCACAGCACAGCAGGCGTGAGGAGGCACACAGGATGGGGCAGTGTGGCCTCTCCTCTGAGGGGGCACTTCGCTCGGCCCCCATCCCACCAGAGCCAGTCATGACTCAGTACACCTTGGCCAAACTCAGCCACATGCTGCTCTAATCGTGGCTGGAAATTAAAGATCAACAAAGTCCTCATTTCAGGTTGAGAGTTGGGATGTTGGGCAAGGGAAGGGAGGCGCCCTGGGAGCTAACTTGTCTAAAGGGGAGAGGGGATGGCTAACTGAAAAGAACAAAGACCTTGGAGTCACACAGATCCGGCCATGTGGCCTTGAATAAGTCCCAATCTCTCTTCAGCTTCCTTATCTATAAAATTTACAAATAATAATAACACCGCTTTCCCTCATGGGTCATTGAGAGAATTACATGAGACACCAAGTAAGAAAGCGCTTAGCACAGAGCTCGGCTCACAGGGCATCCGGCTCTGTGAAGTCTTCCTCCCGCCCCTTCATCTCGGCGTGGGAGAGCTAAGAACCTGTTTGTTCTAAAAACAAGAATAGCTCATTTGAGAGCTCAGTACACGCTGCGTATAGTTTTAAGCATCATATGTGTGTACACACACACATATACACGTCCATTTCATCTTCACAGAAATTCTGAGGTAAAGTAATAACATTAACCTTATTTCACCAAAGAGGAAACTGGGGGACGGGGAAGTTAAGCTGTACATGAGGGAGGATTCAAACCAGGCCGCTTGGCTCCGGGCCCCACGTATGATTAAAACATCCACCGTAAACTCTAACGGCACAAGGAGGCCAGCTGTGGCATTTCCCAAAGCCAGATGCTTCTGCCCAGCAGGAATCTCCACCAGTAACTTGCTGGCAGGATCCAGGGGGCCTTTCGCCAAAATTCCTGGGTCAAGGAAATAACAGGAATATGAAGGGTCAAGCGGGGACTCTCTCGGGAATGCACAGAGCGTGTTTCTTACGCGCATTGGAGCTGCCTGGAAGCTGTCTCCCAGGACTCTGAGGGCACCACTCACCCTCCACCAGCAGGTGTGTGGTCCCAGCTGGACGGCTGTCCTGGAAGCAGGAATAGTTTCCAGAGTCACTGAGCTGCACCGACCTCAGAAGCAGCCTCGTCCCCACGCTGGTCCATCTGCTGTGAGGTGAGCCCACAGCCTGACTCCTGAACGCCCAATGAACACTGCCATTTTCTCCTGGTTCCACGCCTGGGCAGGTCAGGGTAACGTTGGCCCCCGGGAGGCTGGTCAGCACATCACTCGCCACCTCTGGGGAAGGGACGGGACGGTACACTTGGTAAGCACACAGTACCCAAAGAGGGAACTTTGTTTCTGATTTGGGGAAGCCACAACAGGCCTCAGTGCTAAACATGTCTCAAGTCCATCCACTGCTCCCCAACCCCACAGGCACCACCCTGGCCCAGGCCACTGTCACCTCCGCCTGGATTACAGTAACAGCCTCCTGGTGGCCTCCCGCCCCAGCCTGGCCTTCTCTGCCCTGAGTGAGCCCTCTGAAGTAATGATCAGGCCACCCCACTCCCTTGATTAGAAAACTCTTCAGGGCCTGCCACCATCCACAGGATCAAGTCCAAGCTCTCTGGTGCGGCCCACCAGGCCTTGCAGACCTTCAGAGCCTCATCCCTCCCAACTCCACCTTGGAAGGAAGGCATACCCACCCCCTCCCCACAGCCTCTCACACTCACTCTTCTCCCATCCACCTCCATGCTAACTCCTCCGATTTCAGGTCTCGGCCTAAGCATATCCTCGTCCCCCCAGCTGGATTAGGCCCGATTAAGTGCTACCTTCTCCATCATGCCACTCAGGAGGAATCGCTGTATAATGACAGTTCCATGTCTGTCTTCCCCTCAAGACTCTAAGTGCCCTGAGGACAGGCACCCTGCTTTGTTCTCTGTTATATTCCAGTGCCTAGAACATTGCCCAGCACATCACAGTGGCCCACGAGTACTTGATGAATGTCTGAATGAAGGGACACACCTGTGAATGAATGAATGAATACCAGGAGGGGCTTGCAAGATGCACAAGCACACAGGGGGTCTCAGAATCACGGGGTCTTCATGGTTGGCTGGTCCATTTTACAGACGGTAACTGAGGCCCAAAGACACAGACTTGCCCAAGATCACCAAGACAGTATAGCAGGGCTGAGATGCACAACAGGCCTTGAACCCCCTCTTCAGTGCTCAACCATTTAGGACAACGCTAACTTTCTTCTAGAGGCCAAACTGAAAGGTAAAAAAGAACAAATACTCTCCCCACTCCCTGAAAAAATCGTGTGTGTGCCTACTCAAGGAAAAGGAGATTAAAGAGTAAAGGAGCAAATAACAGTCTTTTGGTTTTGAGAATAGGTCATAAAAAAAATACCAAACCCATGGCCAACCCATAGCAACCTTCTAGGACAGAGTAGAACTGCCCCCAGGGTTTCCAGGAGCCGCTGGTGGATGTGAACTGCCGACCTTTTGGTCAGCAGCCAAACCCTTAACCACTGCAGACTAAGATATAAAGAAGCACCCGGAACACAGGCCCGGCGATCTGCTTCTGAAAGGCCACAGTCTCGAAAACCCTATGGAGCGGTTCTACCCTGCACACGAGGGGTCACTGCGAGTTGGAGTCGACTCAACAGCAAGTAACGACAAGAAGATATAAATCAGCCCGGCCACGTTAGCTTGGACTAATTATTAACCAATTAATTAAATTAGTCTGACCAGCTGAGGGAACCGAGGCCAGGAAATACAGACAGCTGTCCCATGAAGCACGCTTGGTCCTTCAAACCAAATGTATAACCCATTCCTTGTCAAGCAGCTGCAAGAAATCTGCCCAAAGATTTCGGAGAGACCCAGCAGCTGTCTGAGCCCTGACCTCAGCCTCCCACTTGTGCTCCTGGGGCCGGAGGACAAATTTAAGTGTCTCTCCCAAGGCTTCTTCCTTGGGAGGAGTAGCTCTTATCTCATAGCTGGCAGACTCTCCTTCCTCCCACCCCAGCCAAGGCAGCCGGCAGAGAGACGGGACTAAGAAGACACACCCAGGCGGTAACTCTCCCAAAGCTGGAGGGCTGGTTGTGCAGACTAGCCATCGGCCAACAGTCCAGGGACCAGGGACACAGGCTATCAAGGGGCAGAGACACCCTCCACCCGGCATGGAGCCCTGCCTGCCATACAGACTCCCTTCGGCCTCCTTCTCACTTGGCCACGTGGTGCCAGCGCCCTCCACCCTGACACGCCCGCCCCGAGGCTGCAGACCAAGGGCAGCCCAAGGCGGAGCGGCAGCCGGCCACTGCAGGTTTTCTGACATCACCCCCAGAGCCTGTGATTTCAGCCAGTGGCTGAATCTCACTTGAGCAGCCTGCTGAGTTTGTGCTGGCTCCTTACGCCCCTCTGGCCTCACTTTCCCCCACAGTGGGCAGGGAAGGCCCTCCGCCTGTCCTACGTTCAACAAACATTCGGGGAGACACCAGCGGTGCTCAGGGTGAGGAGGGTGCACTCAGGCATCAGCCAGACCCGGCGCTCAAGGACCGGAGAAGTAAGAACATTCGCTGCCGCAGAGCTGGGCAAGAGGACACAGTGTTCCCCTAACATCAGCAAAATCCCAGTCCCCAGACATCGACTGGGAGTAACAGGAGGGCTTCCAGACCCACAGAGCTTACACAAGTCATGGAACAACCAGTAGCCTTTGAGTTGATTCCCACAACCCATGTGTGTGTCAGAGTAGAACCGTGCTCCACGCGATTTTCAGTGGCTGATTTTCCGGAAGTAGATCGCCAGTCCTTTCTTCCAGGGTGCCTCTGGGTGGACTTGAACCTCCAAAGTGTGCTAACCATTTGCACCACCCAGGGACTAAAAGAATCATAAAAAGCCCTAATTACAGCATGCCTTTGATAATATATTTCCAGTATGTGAAACATTGTCATACAATGTATTACATTATAGTTAGCCCATGCAAATCAATATATGTAACGTCCATGTTTATGAAACATAATAAAACACTCACAAACCTTCCACTGACCTAAAACCTAACATGATCACTGTCTTTGAAGCTCCTTTTGTGCTACCATTCCCCGGCCTCCCCACCTCCCCAAGGTTACATTTTGTGTTTATCATTCCCTTACTTTGTAAAAACGTTTACCACCTATGTACCCCGACACGTCTTAACTCTGCTTGACTTTTGAGCCTTACAAAAACGGTTTGCATGTAGTCTTCTGTGATGTGCTTTTTCATTTATTATATTTCTATGGTTCATCTGCACGGAGCTAGTCTTGCACCTAGCGACTCTGTGGTGCAAACAGTTAGCATACTTGGCTGCTACCCTGAAGGCTGGAGGTACAAGTTCACTCAGAGCTACCTCGGAAGAAAGGTCTGGCAATCTACGTCCAAAAGATCAGCCACTGAAAACCCCATGGAGCACGGTTGTACGCTGACACACACAGGGTCGCCATGAGTTGGAAATGACTGGACGGCAACTGGTTTGTTCTTTTGGTTGATAGTAGATTCATTTTCACTGCTGCGTAATATTCCACTGTGTAACTATACCATTCTCCTGCTGAGGAAGGTTTGGCTTGGTCCCAGCGTTTTGCCATATCAGCCAATGTGGCTGTCAACCTTATACGTCATTCTTGGTGCACTTGCCCAAGAGTTTCCCTAAACATGGAATTGCTGGCCTTAAGCGTGTATGCGTGTCACACGTGTCTTCCTCCTTCATAACTGAACACACAGCGCTATGTGATTAAGTCCAATGAGCACCTGATGGAGGATGAAGCTGGCCGCATTCAGTCCACATAGTGATTTCATCTGAGCCTGAATGCGATTAAGCTTAGAAGACCTACCCACACGTCTAATTACGGTATCAATGTTTTCGTTTTTCTATTTTCCACTTGATGAAGTAGCTGTAAGGGCAAAACTCAACATGGTCGTCAAGTTCATGCACAAATTATCACCACTGTAGGAACAAAGAGACAGTGTCAGAACAGGACAGACGCTGGTGGGTGGTCCCCTGCGCAGAGCTCGCAACACCCCTCCATCAGCTGATGAGTGGACATCAGACTTCACAGCTTAGGAGCGCCCAGACGTAACGGATACAAGTGCAGCTTGCGTGAAAAGTCCAAGGCAGGGGTCAAGGTCCACGATGGCTCATTCTTTCCTTGACAGTGTTCACAAGGAGCTCTTCTCATCTATATACTATGGGACTGTGAGCCCCTCCTAGCACTTACTGGAGAACTCGGTGTGTGCTTAATAGACTCCCCCACCAACACCACTTGCTGTCAAGTCCATTCCGATTCACAGCGACCCCATGTGCCTCAGAGTGGTACTGCACTCCATAGGGTTTTGGCTGTGACTTTTTGGAAGTAGATCACCAGGCCTTTCTTCTGAGGTACCTCTGGGTGGAGATTCAAACAGCCAACCTTTCAGTTAGTAGCCAAGTGCTTAACTGTTTGTACCACTCAGAAACTCCTTTAATAAACTCAACAGCTGCTTAATAAATGTCTCCTTAATGTAAAGGACCTACAAAGCCTCCGCGCTGAAAACTCCCATGAGCACCATTCACAGGGGACACAGTGGTCTAGGTCGTGCCCCCTAGTGTCATGCATCAGCAGGCCCTACACCGAGATCCGAGGAGCCAGCTCGTCATAACTAGGGGTGCGGAGGAAAGAAAATAGGGGTCCTGGAGCCGGAGGAAGAGTTTTCTTTTCTGCTTCTGCCTTTGCCAATTCCAGGAACTATGTTTCACTTCCTTCGCCCTCAGTTCAGAGCGAAGCTTCTTCTGTATTTAGTGACCAGCCTGAACAATAGCAGGGGCTGTTCTGTTCCTGGACTTGCTAACAATGGCCAATGTATTTGGACAGCTCAGAGAAATACCAGATAAAAAGACTTCTCTTCCACAAAAGCAGAGCCGCGGGGAGTAACATAATGGCCGCTTCCACTGCCAAGAACGGCTTTCTGAATCCTTAAAATTGCGTCACTGGCATTTTTTTTAATGGGGGATAATTAATTATAAACCACCCATTGGCAAGTGTTGTCTGTCACAAGCCCTTCTTCATAATATATCTCTTCTAGAACCCATGAAAGACACTGTGTTGACTATGCTTTTCAAATCACTATATGCAAAATGATCACAATAAAATACGCACAGAGGAAAGGTATTAAGATAATGGACTTGCTAAGTCAGAGTGGGCAGTGCGGCCCCTTCCCAGCCACCCCTGTGCCTCCTGACCCCAATCTCTGGGTCAGTGCCCATTACACTGGGAGTCCCCACCCCACGTG